CTCTGACTCAGTCCTCCTTTTTGGAACGAATGTGCTGGAGTAACTTGGCGAGAGTCTTTTAGAGGCATTTAGAGAATTTCAAAGCCAAGCAGAAAGGGACACACACTAGGGAGTCCAACTCCCTTGCTTTTTGCTCCCAATTCTTCTTTTAGAGTCCTTCTCATGTCCTTCTCAGTAGAGCCTCAAGCTTGTGTACTTGTGAGTCGTTCAGCCTCCACACTGGTCTCAACCTGCCTTTCTCCACCTTCAGGGAGAGTTGCCTCTCTGGAACAGACCTGCGCCTCCGGCCGTATCCCTGAGGGCTCATCTTGTCAATAGGGGCGCCGGTCTTCAGCTTTTTGTTGTTGAGCTGTTGTAGGCGGTGTGCTAGGTCATGCACTGTACAGGTACCCAACACGCAACCTTTGGACCTCTTGGTTCGGATTTTAATGTCAGTGCTAGAGACAGAGAGAAGACAGAATGTTAATCCGCTATCACTTTTCAACCTCTAAGGTGGACCTGTTCAGTTGGGTTGCTTTCTAGCTTTGATTAGATGATTCATTTCTTACCTGGAATGTGGCAACAAGGTATCCCTGATGTCCTCTGGTCTAACAAAGGATTCTGACTCTGTTGTCTTCTCTACTGCAACACTTTCAAGATCCCGTCTCAGTCTGCTCCCGAGCCATATGCTTAGTCTGCAAGAGGAGAGGAGGGGAAAAACACCATTAGTTTTGGAGAGGATGATTCTTGGCACAAAACTTCAGCCAGAAACATTATTATTATTATTACAGTATGAACTGATTTGAAGTTGACTCACCTTTTTTTCAACACGGGATTCACCTCAAGTTCCACACAGTGCGCTACTGAAGCCAGCAGGCAGCAATAGAGGAAGGAGTGGAAGATCGTTTTCATTTTGGCTCCTGTGGCAAGAAGAGAGAAGGAGAGAAAAAAAAAAGTTTGGTTAGTTAAATAGTTATGGCTGAATTTAATATTTAGCTGCTGACATATCCTTACTGTCCCTCTTTGAATGGAAAACTACAACTTAAAGTATTCCATGAGAAACTGTGTTATGTTTTCTTACACAAGAGTCCAAAAGGCAAGTTATTTGCACATATCATTCATTTATTTAGAAAGTTAAGCCAAGGTCAGAATTTGCTAGGTTAAGTAAATCTGCAACCATGCTTTGGGCATTTGGCCAGCAATTTGAAGGACATGGTCTGAAATAGACGCAGCAGAAGTGCAGCAAAATGTGCAATCTGCAAGTTTCATTTACAACATTTAGATAAATGAATAATAACAATGAACTAATCCTGTTTTATTTGCAGTCTTGGAGGCAATTACCTCACAGACTAACACACATTTAGAGCTGAACTGCTTATATAACCAGACAGATAACCTGTTCTTGCCTCAACACTAGTGCCTTGACCTCAAAAAACACAAGAAGTAAGGATAAAACCATTAGCTGGCATCACAGCAATACAACAGCAATGTGTTTTCCTGCAAAGCAAATCACACATACCTGTAGTTCAGCTCAGGTGGATTAGAAAGCTCTTCTTCCAAAGTCACCAATAAAAGAATACTCCACAGGTTTTTCTTCAGGTTTATTTTTGCTTCTTTAAGGCAGCTGTGTCACTCTGCTATTAGTCTCTACACAGCAGACCGGCCGCCTTTATACACTTACAGAGGGTGGGAGGGGCTCAGTGATCGACACGCGCTGTCTCATCCTTTACCCCACCCCATTCAAAGCACTTAACTGCTCTGCTGTTCATGTTCAGCAACACAGGGTGGGGGATACGTGTAGGAATGTCAATCAAAATCATATGTTAAACAAAACTAAAGAAAAGTCCGTATTGTATCCTGTTTTTCATTATTTATCCCCTAACCTACTTTCTGTGCAGGCTTATATAACACAACATTTAAAATAAATAATGAGTCAAATGCAACACTCAAATCAATACAAAATGCTTGCAACCTATGATCAAAACATTTATATGGTATATTGATCAATTATATTAATATTCTCTTTTTTTATGCTCCTTTCAGTCTTTCTGGCAACAAATGAAAAAACTTTTGAGGAATGTTCCCATCCTCGGCTTTCCAGGGCACTCCCTGACACCAGCAGAGTCCACGAGAACCTGAAAACCCAGATGACAATGAACATGAGAAAAGTATTACGTTACTCATTAATATAATAAGAATGCCCGACTGTAAATACAATAAACTCAATATATTTGTTTGGACAGTGCAAATATTTACTTTGGAACACTTGGGATGAAAAGAGGGAAAAAAGAAATGGAATTTTACAATTATAAATCTGTTGTAAGTTGAATGACAGCTCCTGATGCATTGCTTATCATTTTTCCTTTTAAATAGTTTAGATTATTATGGTTTTAGAACAAGTGGAATTAGGTTTAGTTACATTGAGAAACAAAATCTGCTGGGTGATGATTAAAAAGGACATTAGATCCGTTTTTTTCATGGATTTTTACTCCTTTATGTGGTCCTTCCTAAAACATACATTTTATAATAAAGCTTTATGTTTAAAAGTGACACAGAATGTAGGAAATAGAATATCAGAGCCCCGTAAAATTAAAAATGAAAGTGTTCATGTTATAAAGAAATCTATAAAACTCCAAAATATGTGCATGATTTCTTTCTTTTTCTTTTTTTTTTTATCCCACACATGTACCCTCAGGTGTAGTTTAAGAAATGCTGTAAAAACCAGAGGAGAAAAAAACCTTTTGGTTTTAACAGTATAGAAATTCCGCTGTAGAAATTTCCACAAAGCATGGTGTAAGTAAATCTTTCAGTTTTGATTTTGCTTTCGCTTTGTTGAACCGTGAAGAAAACCTATGAAGTAAGGTTCACTCCACAGTTGACATTCCTTCTGCGGTATATCAAGATTCCTATTCACATCCTTCTATCATAATGAAATCCTTATGAGTTTATTTATATTCTCATGCGACCCCATTCCACTGGTGGTGTCATATTTTTAAACTCCAGAAAAATACATAAATGGCAAACACATGCAATGTCAGAACTAAAATGTTTTGTAACCACTTTGTTATGCTAATTGACTCCAGCAGATCAGTAATCCCCTCACCAGAGCTTATGACAAGAGATGGTGCAATCATGACAATAAAATTCTTCTGTTGCATTTTGACTCCTTTTATAGCAAGAAGAAGGCGGAATTCGACTGACAGGTTGTTTAAATATGTATTATTATTATTAGCTTATTTATTTCGACAATGACTGGGAAATCGAGGGCATAGGGAACATAAAGTTGATCAATCATACCAGATTTCCTAAACAGGTTTGTTAATATAAGTAGATACCTTTTTAATTACGGTAAACCTGTCATGAGCCATCCTTTTTTCTCAAGAAAAACACAGTTATCTTCTGTGTTATCCATGTTATCCTGTCGATTACTCTTCTTCACTGCCTCTGTTTTTTTTTTTTCTTGTAAACACAAGCATTGTCCAGGAATTTCAAGAGCTTTTGAAAACACAGACGATGACTGAGGGAAATATCTCGCTGGGTTCCTGCTATTGTTGCTGCTTGGTGTATTTGTCTCACACTCATGAGCTAATACCCACGTGTTATACCTGGTGACAGCTTGTCCTGTTTTTCATTCCTCTTCAATATTTTGTTCTAACCCAGGAGTTTATCTTTGATTGATCCACAAAAGGGAGCGTTTTGTATTATCGGAGTTGGGATAAAGTGAAGACATCTGGTAATGGAAATTGAGAAGTTAACATTTTATTGCTGAAAGATTGCTTTAGATTTGTTTACTTTACATAATTTCACTGACTTGCCCATCCATCCATCCATCCATCCATCCATCCATTCATCCATCCACCCATCCCCTCTCGCATCCATCCATCCATCCATCCATTCATCAACCCATCCATCCGTCCATCCATCCATCCATCCATCCATCCATCCATCCATCCATCCATCAACCCATCCATCCATTCATCCATCCACCCATCCCCTCTCGCATCCATCCATCCATCCGTCCATCCATCCATCCATCCATCCATCCATCCATCTATCCATTCACCTTCCATCCATCCATCCATCCATCCCATCGCATCCATCCATCCATCCATCCATCCATCCATCCATCCATCCATCCATCTGCCATCACACCCATCCACCATCCATCCATCCTTTATCTGTCCATCCGTCCATCCAACCATCCAACATCCATCTGCCCTTCCACCCATCCAACATCCATCCATCCTTTATCTATCCAATCTTTTATCCATCCCTCCTTTATCCATCCATCCATCCATCCATCCATCCATCCATCCATCCATCCATCCATCCATCCATCCATCCATCCGTTTCTCAGTTGCATGGTTGCACTCATTTATTTCTCTTTTAGTTGCTTATTCTAAAAAAAAAATGATTGTGACAGACAAGTTTCCCCAGGCTGGAAAAGCTTTTACTTGGTAATTTTTCCCTTTCTCTGTTGCAGCATTTATGATGTTATGATAGTCCATTTCAATGTAAATCGTGATCTTGTTTGTAACTCTCTATAGTTTCTTTTAATTTTAGTCTAAAGATAAAGCAACAAGAAACAGTGAGTTTGAACTGTTTTACACTTAAAACTAAACTTAATTTTAGTTTTTGCTGCCTTCCATACAGACATACAAAACTCTTCTTAAAGCCTCTCCTGTTTAGTTAATTGGACTCATCTATTTTTTTTAAATATATTTGTTCATTTATTAGAAAAAATGCTTCACAGTGAAAGCTACTATAAGGCCTTTAACTTTAATGCAGCTATTTTATTATATATTTTGATATGTGGAATCTGCATTTATAATTCACATATATCTTGTTATTTTTGTTTTATACCTGTCCCTCAATCCATCTGCTGTCTAAGATTAGAACTGATATTCCCGAGTTGCTGCTGCATAAACACTGGATGTTAAACATTTGTTTTTTTTTTGTTTTTTTTTAGATATGTTTGTAAACTGAAAGGGCCCACGCCCATGGATGGATCCCAGCTCCCCGCGCGCATGCGCACTGCCGCTCCTCCTGTCAAACATGGCTGTTCTCTGGAAGGGGGGAAAATGCTGAATTGTGTTGGTATATCTCGGGAAGATCAGCAGACATGGCTAGGTTGGCTGACTATTTCACCGTCGTCGGATACGACCATGAGAAGGCTGGTAAGTGTTGTGCCGCTGCGGGGTTAGCGGATCTCTCTGGTCCAGGCCGAGTCTCTGTGTGAGATGATGTTGATGCTACATAGCATTAGCCGCACGGAGGGCTAGGCGAGCTGGGAAACACTTTCTTTTCCTCCTTTTAGCAGGCCAGATGTTTGAAACCGGCCGGAGGGGGGCGGATCGCGGTGAATTAGTGGCTGTGCATTAGAGAAGGTTGTCAAATTAGATATGGATTAAGGGAAACTTTTCCTGTGGGATTAAAATCTCTCACATCCTGTCTCTGTAGTGATTCTGCTTTATTGACACTACTCAGATTTGGCCGTTTAAACCCAAATCTGGCTCCTCCCTTCACTGTTTGTTCAGTCAGTCAGTCAATCCAGGCCATGGTCATTGATCACCACATTTGTAGTTTTTATTGCGTAAAGCTATGCATACTAACCTTGATCTATTTTTACCTACTGCAGCCCCATGTTCTCTCCCTTTTCTCTGTTTCCATGAAGGGAGTGAATTGGGGCAAACCCCTAAAACAGGGGCGGAGCTAGATTGGGGGGCCAGGGGTGGCTATGGCCACCCTTACCCAATCATTGTCCACTCCTACCATTTTTTCCCTCTAATACATTTTTTTGTGGTTAATTATACACATCAATATACTAGCATCAAAGATGATAAATACAGAATTCATGCTCTTTTCAGAACCTCGCAAAGCATTATGGGATTTGTTGTAGTAAATACCAAAGATGGTGCAGACACCCTGCGGGAAGGAGGAGTCACATGACCAACAGGTAGTGAAAAGTAGTGATCATCAGTCCAAATGGTCAGTTAACCGAGTTTGCTATAAAGTCCACTATATGATCCCGGCCTTATGTAGTGAGATAGGGATGTAGGGGTTAGGGCGGACATTCAGGCACAGCCTATGTCATGTATTTCTTCAGCCCAGCCACTGAACCAGTTAAGTCCAATCTGCACAATTTAATTCAATGTGCAGATTGGACATAACCTGGTTCATTGGCTGGGCAGAACAAATACATGACATAGAGATCACTTTATGGTTCCAAATCTCCCACTGCTGATTAATACTGAAGGAAGTGGACGGGAAATTATGCCATGAACCGAAGAAGCAGTGGAACAAAACTTCCACACGCTCCCTTGACAGCATGTACTTTTAGGTTTAATAACATGTATTAATTTGGAATAGTGATTTCAAGAGCCGTATGTCTGGAAAACAATACATATATTCCAGATTTTTTTTTTTCTTCCATTTTATAGAGGATTTTATAATATATTGTCTTTTTTTATGCTTGTTCAAAAATGATAATCAAACCTTTCTCTAAAGACTTATTTAGCATTTTTCTGCAAACACTAAAAGAACTCAGCTTTCCCAAAACATGTACTTTGCTCCGTCTCGTCTGGTTGACAGCTTTGCTCCTGTTCTAAGTGGGAAATGATAATCAAGTGATGTGATTTAGATGTTTGATTTAATGACAATGATGATGTAAAATTAGGTGTTTGTGAGATTTTGCCATATATCCACATTTTCCTCTCCTTTGTTTCTCACAGATGCTATTGTAACGCTTTGCATTTGTTTCTTTTTTTTTTTTACTTCACCGTATTAGAAAGTGTGGGATTTGATTTTGAGTTTTTCAAGTCTAGATGAATATGGAGGATTGTTTTATTTATTTATTTTTTTTTTGTAGATTTCACTCAATATTTAATTTCATAAAAGATAAAACAAAAAAACTTTAAAGAATGTTTTCTGGGACTAGGATGCTTGTAGGGTTTTAATTTAACTTAATTTATTTTATTTGTATGAACATTGTGGGGTGTATTGTTACTTGACTGCAACTAATGGCACTTCTTGTTTTAAGGCTTTTTTCCCTCCTCACTATTCTGCAGCGGGACAGGAAGCCCCCCCATGCATTACAATTACAAGTCCAGCCTCACATTCCTTTCATCCAAGTCAGGAAGCAGCTTTGCACATGTTTAATCAAATGATGAAAAGTTTCTTTTTTATGGAGGCATAGTTCTCAAGTAAAGCTGCACTTTTAATACATTTCATCTTGGATAAATAACCTTTAGCAGTTTATTGCATCTTATATGTCTGATAGGATTCCCTATCAACAAAAAGTAAAGATGTTTAAAGTTTTTTAGCGTATTGTAATGGCAGCTATCCAGCTCCATGTCTGCTCTGACCTCCAGAGTGGTTGAATCCAGTATCACCTCATGGTGCTGCACGCAATAGATAAACAAATCCTTTCATTGGCTGTATGCATCCGCTAAAAAAATAGACATGTGTTTCTGGTATTGCTCAGTCTAACTGGATTCAAGGGAATCTATGGAAGAGATGGAACATTTATTTTGATCTTCTCTGTACTCTGAACTTAAGATCTACCGTATTGTCTGGAGTATAGGGCCTCACCCACACCAGTTTTTTGAAAAACTGGAGACGTACATATATGTGTAAGCCACACTGGGGCATAAGTCACTGATCTGTCCCCCACCAAACCTGTAGGGGGAGCTCTACGTATCACCCCTAGCTCCCGATTGCTTGTTGGCTTGTGGCCGTAAGAGCTTTTTCTAGAGGATGGTGCTTCTTCAGCTCTTTATTTCAAATCTGCAGGAGTTGCACACTGTCTCTTCATTGATTCGACAGCTTAATGCAGCAAATAAATATTCAAATGTGTGAATTTGGGACATTTGTTCTCCATCGTGTCTTTCTTCTTCGTTTACCAACTTTGACTTTTGTCACCTGTCGGATAAAGACAAATCCACAGAAAAGCCGCATCTTAGCATAGGCTGCATGGCTTAAAGCGTGGGAAAAAGTAGGGGATTACAGTCCGGAAAATATAGTAGCATAGTTTTCATGCTACCATTGTTATAATTATCATTTGTTATTAACAAGGGACCTGAATCTCATCTAAAAGGATAATCACATCCTTATTGGAACCAGATCTGTTTGCTGTTTTCTGACAGTCATTGCTGTTCTACCCACAAGATGCATGTTAAAAATAGATTCAGAAAACGTCTTAAGATGTAAAATGCAAGCCTTTATTAAAGACATGCATCTTTCAGTTGTTTGTCTAGACGACAAATCTCTCTTCTCTCTGTTCCCATATTGCTCGTTAACTCAAACCAGCAGTCTCTACGTGGCTCATCCCTGAGCCTGCTGCTCCATGCTGGCTTCTGATCTACTGGCCTGACCCACTTCTCACTTAGAACGCAGCGAATAAGTCTTAAGACTGCAATCTGCTCACAGTCAGAAGGAAAACATTCACACCTTTTTGTGGCAATGAGGATCACCTTTCCACCTGTCGTAAGATGTTGTCGAAGGAGGAGATGCATATAAACAAAATAATAAATTAGAGCTGTAATATTAAAAGTTTCAATTCAGTCTCAGTTTGTTCCAACTTTGCCTGATTTATTTAATTATTGCATTTATTATTATTAGCCTGTGATCCCAAAAAACCTTTATGAGGTCCCAAAATGAGTTAATGCACAATCTAAAAGATTGATTTATAAGTGTTTGTGAGATAAAGTGTGTCTCTGTGCAATTGTTGGTTTGTCTTGAATGCAAGAAATAATACTTGAAAAATAAGTTGTTATGATTATAATAGATATAAATAGTTGAATAGTTTCCTGTAAAAAAAAAATGTTGGAAACCTTTTTATTCTGTCCTGAAACCACACTGTACTCTGTATTTTCCTTTTTTTTTCAATAGGGAGCCGTTTTCTTGTATTGGCTTGACTTTTTATATAGTCTGGCAAACTGTCCTCTTAAAATTACAGTTTTCCAAGTAAAAAAAAAAAAAGACCTGCTGCTTTTCTAACAGTTAATTTGAAGGAAATCAGCACTGTTTTATTGAATCAAACTGCTCATTAAATCCATTTCACAGATGCTGTGGACAGTCTCAGCTCCACGGGACTGTATGAACTCTGGGATTCATTTATGTAATAACGATCAATCTTGTAAAACTACTGTCCGCTGTGGTGCCGCTTCCCAGTTTAGTTACAAATCAGTAGTGTCTTTTAAAGCATTATTGTGATATCCGTGCTGAGGGAGAGTTCATGCAAGGTCTCGTGCCTCAAACCTTGCATGAATTGACTTTTTGTTAAAGCTTTTTAAGAGAATCTGTGGTGGAAGGGGGATGTCCTGCAGGCAAACCCACACAGGAAGTGCTTATGCTAGAGAGTCACCTTTATCGGACATACTTGTGTTTTTGTCTGCTACTCATGCTTGCTTCTTTCATCTTCATGTTTTTATTGTAGACACCCTATATATGTGTCTTTGTGGGTTTTTTTTTAATGTCTGACTCTGCAGACTAGTATGTGTTGCAAGCTCCTGTTGATCTGCTCCAGTGGGGGTCCATGTTCTCATGACCTGTTCCCTTTGTTTTCGTTTCAGTCATGTTTGATTCACAGTCTGTTGGCTTCCTTCTGACATAATAAATAGTCTGTTTAAATCTGCTCGCTTCTCGGTTTATCTGCATCACACAGACCTGATGAAATAATTTGATATTTATTGCAGCTTTTACTGATTGCTTCAAGAAAAATGGTGAGATAAGCTAATACTTTTGGACTTAAGATTGAGAAAGTATTTACAGTGCGAATTCCCCACATCCGATTAAAATTTTAATTGTGATGTCTTAAAGTGATATTGAATGACAAAGTTTTACACTGGATTAAACAACCTGATAAAGTAAACATGCTTTGGGTACATTCAGTCAAAGCTCTTCCAACAGCTGGACACTTTACAGTGCAGACATTCGCACATGAAGTGCTGCCGTGTGTTATTGTTGGCTGTCTCGGTGATTATATATTGCAATTAAATTTTCTAGTATTTCTTGTTTTTATCTGTAATAACATAAACATGATGAAATAGTTGGGTTCTCGGGGCTGACTGAACAAGATCTGAACCACTTGACAAACCTAAATTGTGAAACTTTCAGAAAGGAAAATAGAAGTTCTGAGCTCTTGCAAAATGAATAGTCGCAGTTATTTTTCAGATCT